GGTGCTACCTTTAAAACAATAAGAATGACTTGATGTGTGGTGCTTGCYTTTGGAAGGTTTTGCTGTGAAGTAAACATGCGGTCAAAGGAGCTCTCCATGCAGGTGAAACAAGTCATCCTTAAGCGGCAAAAACAGGAAAAAAAAACATCCGATAAATTGCTACAATATCAGGAGTGGCAAAATCTACAGTTTGGTACATCCTGAAAAAGAAAGAAAGAAAGCACTGCCCAGCCATAGTCCAGAACAGTGATGTTATTGTTCYTCTGTTTCGACCTTCAGCAATGCTCCCAGAAACCGGTTCACACACGGGAGTGGGAGAAGGGAGAGGTGGGCCAAGCATCAGTCGACAAAATATCCATGGAGAGTTTGACATTGCCAAGCCTTCAAGGCCAAGCAGYGGGTGGAGATCCATGATCACAACTGTTTTGGAACAGGCTGATACAGAAGATTTGCTTGCAGCTTTCAAAGTCTCACTAGAACTCTCAATGGCGAAAAATTCCAATCAGACAAATTTGTTGGTCAATGATCGCCTTTTATCCTGGGCTCAACTTCACCATGGTCTAAGCATTCCCACCAGCAGGTTCRGGAGTCACAGCTGGTCTACGATCCGCCAGGACAGCATCCAGCTTATGGTTCATCACCCCCAGCACCTCAGTCTGTGTGTTGATGGACCGTCATAAACCATCACAGTGTTGGCAGTCTCCACAGGGCCCGAACAGCTGCCAGCACTTTCTTTATTTTCCGAAATACCAGATAACCACCTCCACCAAATGGTAGAAGTCCAGCTATCATTAATACAAATATCCAAACATCTTCAACGTCCTCAATCGACAATTGAGCCAGGCACATGATCCTCCACTCGCCCCACGAGTCCTGCATACGTCCAGCAGCAAAAGTGTTTTCTGGACAAGGGTCTCATTTGCCCAGCTTCAGTGTAGAAAAAAATTGATCATTAGTGTTAAGAGACCAGCTGACCAGATCCATAATTTCACAATTTGGATGCTTTGTGAAGGAGGCTTAAAAAAGCAGCAAAGCAGGGTAGGTAAGGGCAGGCTAAAGAGGGATGAAAAATGTGTCTGCCTTCGCTGAGAGCAGAAGCAAAGAAAAAAAAGCTTTGCTAATAACTGGACATGATGTTAAACAARGGACCTAAGCAAGACTAGCTGCTAATATTAACACCTCAGAAGACTCTCCACATAATGAAATGCTAACTCTGGAGCAACGGGTTGTGAACAATAGAGCTAATCAAGCCTATTTTTAGGCGATGGCCTTCTTTTGCACGTGACTAACCTGTTTGTCCATGTGGAGACAGTGCTTATA